ATTTTTGTAGTTGACCAGATATATCACTTGGCTTCGCCAGCTTCTCCTCCCCATTATATGTACAACCCAGTGAAGACGATCAAGACAAACACTTTGGGCACCATCAACATGCTCGGCTTAGCCAAGTCATTAGTACTATTTTGCTGCAACATATGCTTCTTACTGACTTTGTTTAGGCGAGTGAAAGCTACAGTATTGTTGGCATCGACTTCAGAGATTTATGGGGATCCTGAAGTTCATCCTCAACCGGAGACATATTGGGGTCATGTGAACACCATTGGTCCTCGTAGCTGTTACGATGAAGGAAAACGAGTTGCAGAGTCGCTAATGGTTGCATACAATAAGCAGGTACTTCTAGTCAATTTTCTTTTGAACTGCTGTATAGCGTAATTCTGTTCTGCTTCAGGAACGTGTTGCGATAAGAATTGCGCGCATATTCAATACATTTGGTCCGAGAATGCACATGAATGATGGAAGAGTCGTGTCTAATTTTATCATACAAGCATTACAGGGCAAACCAATTACGGTTAGACTTTATTTGCAACCTTCTTTTTTCTTCATTTATTACTTCTAACTTTCTTTTCTAAAAGTAAGGAAGAGAGAGAGGGGAGGGGGGAAGGTTTGTTAGGTTCTTTACTGAAGTCCAGCAACGTTCTAGCACTTATAAGGCTTTTGTACATGTCGATCTTGTTATTTTTGGAATTCTCAGGAGTTTTCCGGAAAAGTGCTGTCTTTCGCTCTCTGTTTTTGATCTTCAACATCAGAGCGCAGTAGCTGATGGATATGGTGATTATTTGAGCTTTCATATTCAGATTTATGGAAACGGATCACAGACGCGATCTTTTCAATATGTGGATGATCTGGTTGATGGATTAATAGCTTTGATGAACAGCAACTGCTCATTACCAGTAAACATTGGCAACCCAGAAGAACATTCGATAGCCAGTTTTGCGCAAATTATTCGGGACCTTGTTGGTACGTGGTGTTCGTTAAATTTACTTCTTTATCTGCTGTTCCACCGTTAAGGTAGCTCAAGTGAGATAATAAATCAGCCTTCCCAAGAAGATGATCCACAACAGCGAAAGCCAGACATATCTAGGGCAGCAAGAGAACTGAACTGGAAACCTCAGGTATGACCTAAGGATCTCAGAAAATGTCCGTATGAGTAATTGATTGGCTCAAGTTAGTCGCTGTTTGTTTAATGTAATTATGTTTTTTTT